ATCATAAAATCTTTTAGACTGAGTGATTAATTTCCTGTCTCATCAGAGTTAAAGTTCTTTTTTTTTTAAACTGCAAGTTCACACTTTATCCTATTTGTCTTGTTTGCATTTCTTAGTACTCTGTTTTTCTCTACTCTGACAGATATGCTTCTTCCTGTTTTCATTTCCCAGATTTTTTTTCTCTTCCCAGTCATTTCAATTTTATTAATTTTTCAAAATTGACATTTAAAGCATACCAATTCTGTGAAGTCTGGCTTATCTTCCTTGTACGGACTTTGTTTCCTTCGATGATTTGTATGTGTTATCTGCCTCTTAGATGTTAGTTAATAGAAGGGATCCTAGGTTTTCTGTTGCCCTGTAATCCTGTTTGTTGATTGACTCAGGAAAGTGGTGGTGATGGGACAATGCACATTTATTGAGCGCCAACTGTTGGTCAGGCTTTACATGTATAACTCACTGTTTTCTCAGAACCATCTTACAAATAGATTATGTTCTTATCTGTATTTTACTGATGTGGAAATTGAGGTTCTTAGAGGTTAAGTGTCCTATCTAGTGCGGCTGAGCCCAGACCCCCTGATCTTAGAGCATACACTCCTCTGCTGTGCTGGGCTACCTCCTGTATTCGGAAAGTGTTGTTATTTCAAGAAAAAGTGTACAACCCTTCTAATAATGTTTATTTAAATTTGGAATGCATATTGACTTGGTTCTGTACCATTAACAATTCTTTATACTATCATTAACACATTTGCCCCTTGTTAATTCCTACCCCAAGTTTATTAAATATCATTAATTCAGTTTTATAGAGCTTATAAGTCTTACTTAGAATCGTCTTAACAAATCATTGATACAACTAATATTAATATTTAATTTTTCCAAATCATAGTTATTCAGGAAAAGGAGGACATTTCCTACTAACTGTCAGTACCACCAGGACCTCCTTATGAACAGGTTTATGCTCCAAAGTTCATTTAAGCTAGTTGTCTGGAACTTTGTTTTTGTCAGAGAGAATACATTATTTTAAACTTGATATTTAATTTTTTACTACAGGTGATATTAGAACATTTGATTTACAAGTATAATGGTACTCTAACACTGGGAATGAAAGAACAAATGTGGTATTTGTTCATTAACATTCATTTGCTATATGCAGAGCACTAGAAGTTCTAACACTGGTGTCAGGAGCGGTCTAGTTCCTGAAGCAGTGATCCTAGGAGCTTCCTCCCTTTCTTTCTTCTCATATCCCTTTTTCTGATCACCTGAGTGCAGGATTTTCTTGACACTACACTACCTGTGATATGCTCTTGTATATCAAAAGGTGGCCTGTTGACTGGTAATGGTTAAGGATAAGGAGCTCCTAAGATTAAGGCATTCTTGAGGTAAAGTTTTTCTAGTCACACCCTTTCTTTTTTCCTGGCAATCTCAGGTAATATCTATTTGCTTCTCTTTCCACTGTAACTATGTTTTGTATTGTTTTACTTTGTTTTATTCTAAGTGTGTGTGTGTGTGTGTGTGTGTGTGTGTGTGTGAGTGAAAAACATGTGAAACAATTGTTCAATTTATCCAGTAATTGGCAAGGCAAATGGCCTTAGCCTTATAGCCACTTTCTAGGGCAAGAGATGGAGCACTGTCAGACCTCAGAAGTCCCCCCAGTATGGTCCTTTCTTAGCACAGCTTCCTTCCTGTCCTCTGTTGGTAATCATTATTCCTTTTATAGAAATAATTTGTTTTTCTTAGTAATTTTATCACCTAATAATGTATCCCCAAGCAATTTTACCTCCTTTTAAAATTAACATAAATGAAATAACACTAATTAAGTTCATTTTTTGTTGCTTCTTTTGCTCAGTAGATATTTTAAAATTCATCCATCTTATAATATGTAGATACAATTCATCTTTGATAAGGCGAAGGGAGAAATAATGATAATATTGTTATGTGTTATTTCATTGTATTAGTTTGCTGCCGTTTCTATAACATAGTGCCACAGATTGGGTGGATTAAACAGCAGAAATTTTTTAACAATTCTAGGGGTGAGGAGGCCAGTAGTCTAAGATGCAGATATCAGCAGGATTGGTTTCATTTGGGGGCCTTTTTCCTTGGTTCATATAGATGGCCATTTTCTTCTGATATCTTTGTGTAGTCTTCCTCTGTGTGTGTTTATGTCCTGACCTACTTCTCTTATAAAAATACCAGTCATATTGTATTAGGACCCACCTATATGACTTAATTTTACCTTAACTCCTTCTTCAAGGATATTTTCTCCAAATACAGTCATATTCTGAGGTATTAGAGGTTAGAGCTTTAATATAAGAATTTAAGGGAGGAACATAGTTCACATTCCTTATGTTATATGATTATACCATAACTATCTACCATATTATTTGATGGACATTGTCATTGTTTCCAGTTTTAGGCTATTATAAACAGTGCTGCTATGAACATTCTTTTACATGTATAATGGTGTAAATGTCTGAGTTCCTTTAGACCAGTTGGAGCATTCTATCCTGAGTGAATTGCTAGGTCATGTTATATAGGAGGAGCATCAGCAGATAAATCCAATCTGTTTTCCCAGGTAATTCTCCCTATTTACATCCTGTTCCTAATGTTTGAAAATTCCTGTTGTTTCACATCTTTCCAACATCTAGTATTGTCAACCTTATTAGTTTATACTAGTCTCTTGGTATGCAGTGCTTTCTCATTGCGGTTTAAGTCCTTTATTTTGTATTTCCTTTATTATTGAAGAATTTGAACATCTTCCTTTATTTATTGGCCATTTGGATTTTTTAATGTATCTGTTCATATCTTTTGTCCATTTTTCTATTGGTAGTCTTTCTTACTGTTTTATAGGAGTTTTTAAAATATTTTTGATAGATCTTTTATTACATATGTTGTAAATGTCTTCTCAAACTATAACTTGTGTGTTTTCACTGTATTAACAGTATGTTTTGATGAGTCAGTGTCTAATATTAATGTGGTGACTTTATCAACATTTTCCTTTGCAGTTAATTTTCTGAGTATGTTTTGAATGTATTCAATATGCCTAAGAATACTTTGAAGGCTTTGAGATCTTTTCCTGTTTAATCTTCTAAAATACTTGTAATTTTGCCCTTTTCATTTAGATCAGTAATATATGAAGCACCAACTTTAAATTTGGTAGTGCCCAATTTAATTATTTTTCCTTGTGGGTAGTCACTTGTTCTGACATCATTATTTATTGAAATAATAGTTATTGAAGAGACACTATTTTCTCCTATTACTTGAATTAACCTCTGTCATAAATCCAGTGTCTATAGTATACGCTTTTGTCTTCTTCTAGACTCCTTACTCTGTATCATCAATCTATTTATCTGTCTCTGCAAGAGTATTAGAGTGATTTGACTCCTGTTGCTTTGAAAGTATTGAAATCTGATGGAGCAATTCCTCCCACCTTGTTGTTGTTTTTCCAGTGACTTGATTGTACTTGATTCTTCCTATTTCCATGAGCATTTTAGTACCTATAAGTCAGGTTCCACATACAAATCTTTTGGGATCTTTATTGGAATGCCTTGACTCTATAAAATCATTCGGGGGGAGGATCGTCAATGTCATGAAAGATAAAAAATAAACACTGAGAAATAGTTTTAGAAAAGACTGAAGAGATGTAATAACTAAGTGCAGAGTGTAATGGTTTTTAAGAAAGTTATAAAGTCCTAGAACAAATCGGGACATTTTAATATAGATTGTGTATTAGATGCTACTAATGTATCCATGTTAAATTTTCTGATAAGTGTGATAATTGTGTTCATAGACAATACATGCTGAAGAATTTAAGATGAAGTGTTATGCCTATATACCTAACTTCTAATTCAAAAATGTTGATTGGGGGCCTCTCTGGTGGCGCAAGGGGTTAAGTCTCAGCACTATGAAGCTATTGGCAGCCACTGCTGCACGAGTTCAATCCCTGGCCAGGAAGCTAACGCACACGGTGCAGCAGACCTCTCCTGTCTCGCCCTCTGCTTCCCTCAGCAGTGTATTTCAGTCAGTCTGCCTGTTCTGCTCCCCACTCAGTCTCTGGTGAATCCTCTCACCCCCTGTACCTCTGGCCTACACCCCAGCTCTTGTATGCATAAATAAATAAAAAATTTTTTTTTAAAATGTTGGTGGGGTAGAAGAGAAGGGAAAGATAATGACAAAATACTGACAATTGACAAATATAGATGAAGGATAAATGGGTGTTCATTGATTTTTTTTTTACCCCTGTAGATACAAAGTAGAAGAGAAAATTCAATTTCATATTTTTGTATAAGATAGTAGAGAACTAGAATTGTACTAGTTAGTGTCATATTAGTGTGTTACATTAAGCAGATTTGCCATTAACCCAGTCAATAAATCAGCAAGCATGATTGGTTACTTTAAAAATTCTGTACTTTAAGCTTATTCAATACACATTTCATAAAACTGGAACAGTAAATGTCTGTGGGTTCTCTTTCCAAACAAAGAATATATTAATAAGCATTTTGTGCCAATCACTGATTTCTGGAAAAAGAAAACTGCATCTTTTTAGACTGCTGGTTAGAGTTATGGAAATATTTTTTTTATTGTACTAAAAATAGTAAGCAAAATAATTCATAGGAGTTACACTCCATGCAATCTCTTTTTGTAAGACTAGGAAAATATTTTTTAGTAAAAACATTTCTGGTGTTTTGATGCTATTGTTTTCTGTAAAGAATTCCAGACCCTTAATTCTCATAGCAAGATTTTTTTACAGTCTATAAGGAAAGCCCCTTGAGTTTTGTTTGTCAGTTGGGTTTTGTATCAATATTTAATTATTGCAGCCAAGGCACATAGGAAGTTAAATAATTATGAATCATGCAATGAATTGGTAATTCTGCTTAACTCACAGTTATTGACTATTCTTTGTATTAGTCTTTTCCCTGTGAATGTTAATATGTGATTTCTTGTCAAAATTATTTGCAAAGTAAAACATCTAACAACGACTTCTAACAGCAAAAATCTTCTAACAGCAAAAGGAAGAACTGAACTTCTGAAAATTAATCTTCGTGAGGTTGAATTAGATCCTGATATTCAGCTGGAAGATATAGCAGAGAAGATTGAGGGCTATTCTGGTGCTGACATAACGAATGTTTGCAGGTACCATTTTAATGATCTGTAACCTTGGACATTAGTTAGAGATCTGGCAGGAGGATTGGTCTTAAAGTTTGTATAGTTAACCTTTCACATGAAAGCAGCTACCCAGATCCTTGAAATGATTTCCCATTTGTCTTTTTTTCCCTTTATATCTCTGTTGATCATTGTTAGATGATTAAATACGTAACAGTGTCCTTCAATTTTTATTGAAATCATTGTGCCTAAATTGGTAATGACTGACGATTTAAGGTTAATGTAACCCTAAACTACAGTCTAGCTCTATCAACATAAAATAATATTTTGTTTTGGTTGGCATTATTTTACTACATGCAGATGAACAAAGTTGCTCAGTTTAAGCTGTGGAAGATAAATATAAATACATGTGTATACCCACCCACACTTATGTAATGATGTCACTAAATTGAAAGAAAATTATGTGCACACTTTTAAAATTACAGTTTTCAGAATAATTTCTGTTATATAATTGCTGTGGTAAAATATGTAAAAATTTGAAGTTTTCTTAGTCTTGACCTTCTTAATTGCTTTTTAATGAGCTCTTATCTGCTTCTTCCAAACCTTGTAATTTTTTACAGGTGAGTAGAATGATGCTGAACATAGGATGTGGAGAAACCAGAGTTCATCCCTTTAGTTGCTCACAAATACTGCATGTAGGGGATTCCCCACCCACTATATGTGGATATATATTCATGTTCCAGAGATAGAGGTTCCTGGCTATACCAGGAATCTGAGATACTGCAAATCTTAAACCAGTTTGTCTATAAATTAGAGAAGGTAACCATATGTTAATTTTCAAGTGTGCAATTCAGTATTTCAAAATTCTACCTCAGTTTTCTATACTTCTTGGCTGTCTTTCAGGGACAAATGGGGAAAGAATATTTCACTAATTTGAACCTCACTTAGACTTTTAGGATTTATTAATGATACATTTTATATTGAAGTGGTATGCATTCTGTTATAGCTTTTCCTGAATCCTTGGGATATCTCTGAATTGAAAAAATGTGGGCAGCATTAGAAAAACATATAAAATGGCCTTTAAAAAAATGTTTTCCCTTAACTTTGAAAGTGTGAAAAAAATTTGCAACAATGAGTATTCACTGATTTTGGTATATTTTTAGGGATGCCTCTTTAATGGCAATGAGACGGCGAATCAATGGCTTAAGTCCAGAAGAGATCCGTGCACTTTCTAAAGAGGAACTTCAGATGCCTGTAACCAAAGGAGACTTTGAATTGGCTCTTAAGAAAATTGCTAAGTCTGTCTCTGATGCAGACTTGGAGAAGTATGAAAAGTGGATGGCTGAATTTGGATCTGCTTGAATTTCTGTCAGCTCTTTCATTTATGGTATTTTTGTTTATAAAATGTGAAGAAAATCCTGCAATTTTTTCTTAAAAACAGGTTTGGAATTTTTCATTGGAGAGATTTTCACTTAAAAGAAAAAAAAAAATCTAAGACCACAGAGAATATTAAGTGTTGTCATATAAGAAAAACTTACATGGAGAGCCTGGTAGTCTCCATCACCTGGCTTTGTGCTTGTATTCCACATGTCCATGCACTATTGCACATGCTAACCAGTGTGTCTGGGACTCTGAGGACAGCGATCAGTGTGCTGTTGAAGAAACCTGTTTACAAAAGATTTAGAAAGAGCTCTGTTTCTCACTTGAATTTGTAGGCTTTTTTCCCCCCATTGTTCTGAACATGAAGGACATATGTATAAGTACTTTTAACATCAGAACTGTGTTTGTCAAATTCATTGTTAAGAAAAGGTAGTTTTGGATTAAATAATGAACACTTTAAAATTCAAGTATTGCTCTTGAAGTCTATCATATAATTAAAATTTTTACTGTTTCCCTATCATTTGTTCTATTAGCTATTATAGGGGCATACCTTCATGCTTTTTAGTTTTTGAATCATTTTTGCTAGGTTGTTTCTATGTTCTTTAGTTTTTTTGTTGGTACTTCTTGTATCTAACATTTGAAGAGTAGGAAGTTTATTTATGATGGCACAAAATGCCTTTTTAGAATGATGTCATTCTAGACTTCTGCATTTTTCACTTTTCTCTCAATATGTTCAGAAAGATAATCCCTTTATATTTTTCCTCAGGTCCAAAATTGTTTGACTTTGCTGGATTTGACTTTAATATTCTAAATAAATATTTTGGTATTCTAAACATGGCCACTCTTGTGGCTAGTGCAAAATAAACAAAACAAAATCTTTATGGTTTTCCAAGACAGCTTCCTTAACAAAATAAAATCATATATAGTAGATGATGTTCGTTTGACAATTTTAAAGTTATTCCTTGTTTAGTTTGAGAACTTGTACACACAAAAGTTAGGATTGAAATTTGACATGCTTTCAGGAGGAATTAGACTATAGAAAGAAGCCAGAAAAAGTACATGGTGTATAATCTAATCCTGCTTGTTAGTTTTTTAAAATTACATTTATCCTACTTTCACTGGACATCTTATGCATTCAAGTTCAAACTTTTAAAAATCTATATTTGACAAAATCTTGAATTTTTAATTTTTGACTGTCCCCACTATCTTAAAAATAAAAATAGTATAACTTTTTAGACACTTTAAAAAAAACAAAATCAAACCTTAGTATTTTGCTGAAGGGATTTTTTTTCCCCTCTAAGAATTATGTAATTTTCAGATAGTTTAAGTCTCAGTCTAAACTCCAGTATTCATCTAATGCTGATCCCCTCTTTTCCTTTTAAGGCATATAGAAGGTAAGTTAAAATCATAAGGCATCATGACTTTATTTAAGTTGAATTAATCTTCTTAAAATTTAAAGTAAGGGGCCTCCCCCGGTTGCACAGCGATTGAGCACTGGGCTGCAGGGCTGCCCGAGGCCTCTGAAGCGCCGGTTCATTCCCCGGCCGCTGGCGAGGGTCCCAAAAAAAAAAAAAAAAAAAAAAAAATTAAAGTAAGTTTCTTTTCATTCTCGAACTTCTAAAATATAGAAATAAGTAATCCTATTAAGATTATCTTGCAAACTATTGTCATCCAGTAACACTTTTCTCCCTGAAGTTCAAGGGTTAATTGTTAAAACATTAGTGTTTTTGTTGCTAAAACTGTTTGTATATTTTAGTTGATTAGTTAGGACATTTTTCTAGATTTTGTGTTGTTTGTCAGGCATGCATTTCAATTTTTTTTTCTGAAGTCTCCATGGATAATGACACAATAATTGTGATTTTAAAAAATTAACAACTGAACGGTATTAGGAGACTTCCTGGTAGCTTATCTTTACTAGCTTAAGTGAATCAGGTGTGTTTATTTTTATTTCCCTTGTTTCTCATTTCGTTCTATCATTGGATGGTGAATGCTTTGTATCTTAAACCCCTTACAGAATCCTGAAGAGACATTTCAGGTTTTCTAGCCAATTCAATGTACATTTTATGTATGGTGTTTTTATTGTAAGATGTGTGTTGCCTTGCTCAGAATAAGAAGATTGTGTTTTCTTTTTTCTTTTCTTTTTCTGTGCTGCATGATCAAATTAGAAAAATTTGGGTTTTTTAATATATCTGAAACATCATTTTTTGGGGTTGTGCAACATGGTGATGTTAGGACTGAGTTTTGTACAATTCTGTTTTGTAGATATTTGACCAGATAGTTTCTTTATTCAGCAGACTTGTATTGGTTGCTTACTGTGTACAAAACTCTTAGCTGGGAGCTCTGTGACCTAAAAAGTTGCATCAGGCTATACTGTTCTGACTGGGCATTTTCTATAATTACACTGTGTAGCTTTTGGCTTGAGGTAATGAAATGAGTTAAGATCACAAATGGAAAAGCATGATAATCTGTGTATGATTTGGAAATAATAGATATAAAAGTTTTTTCTCTCTTTAAATCTGTTTTAAAATTAAAACTGATACCATTTATTTGGCAATATAGCTATTAAAGATCTATTTCCATAAACCCTTTTGTTATTTCCCAGCTACATGTTTATGTTTATCATAAACATATACATATGGTGGTTGTTGCTTGTATACATTTTGCTCTCATAATTTCTTTTTAAGAGGAAATTTCTATTGATGAAATGTACCAGACAAATGACTCTTTACGTAGGCTGAAACCTGTTGTAATTCCAATAGAAAATAAATACTGACATCACAGACTTTTATCTTCCAGTCAGTGGCAGTGTAGGCATTCCAGAACGAGTGAAACACAATTTGGATTCAACATCCACCTCCAGAAATACCAAGATAGCCTCATAGAAGAATCCTGTTATGGTCTAGCTGCATAACGGGGCACTTCATTTGTGCTCCTGAGATTGCAGTTTTTGTCATGTGATATTTGACTGTCAAAAAAATGTGCTGAATATCTTAATAACCCAGAAAATGAAAAGCCAAGTTTTTGGTTACTCTACAATGAACATATATCGATACATCAGGAAAAAAATGTATGGGTCAGGCTCACACCCACAATATAATTTTCACTCTCGTTTACTTTGCTGCATGTAGTCTGACTGTTGAACATGAAATTATTGCTCTCTTTAGGTTTTGAACAGCTTGAATCTGTTTGAATTTCCTTCTTGGAAGTTTCTATATAGTTGAGTCTGTGATGAAGATCATCAACAGTAAGCAGTTGACATAATTACATTTTGTGTCCTCCCTTATCCTGAGTTTAGATAAAGTGAAGGATTAGGCAGTTATTTCATGTCATTTGGGCTTTGGCTCCTTCAGTATTGTCTTGATTATGAAATGTTTTTTGTTTCTTTTTGCATTATAGTAGATTCCTTCTCTTTTGTCTTACTAATGATAAATCACCTTAGGGTATATCCTGTAAGGTAGGTATAAAATGTTAAGGATATTTATTGGCTTTTTCTAAGAAAGGGCCACCTTAACTTGTATGAGGATACAATAAATAGTAATTGTTCTGTTAACATTTTTGGTTATCTTTTGTTCCTTAATTATTTTGATTATATAATATTTTTTACATACTACTTAATTTGTGATGCACATAATATGTGAGTCTAAGAATGTCAAAATAGAATAGGAATTACAGTTGGAGGGCATGTTGGGGGATAAAAATATTTAAACTCTAAATACTTGATTCTTACCACTAATTATTTTTGTAGAAAAAAACGAAAATGGTTATAATTACTGTTTACTTATTTATATTTTTAAATTAGGCTTTTAATATTTATATTTTTTAGGATATTTGCTTTTAATATTGTTTCTTAATGTGGAAACTATTTTAAAAGTCAGATCCTTAAGATAGTAGTTATACTTTTAAACATTAATAAATTAACAGTAGTTCTTTGAGTTTTATTAGGTTTTTTGGTTTAGGACAACTCTTTAATGATCGTATTTCTAAAATTCTAGGTTACTTGTTAATAAAAACAGGAAAAAAAGTAACATCATATAAGCCTTTCTCATTTCTTGATTTATCTTATTTTATGTATGTGTACAAATGACCTGGATACTGCTTTGTCACCAGCTGTGTGTAGGTTTTTGTACATTTGAAATGTGGCACAAAAAATAGGAAATTAATAGAGAGGTTTTCCTCCCATACAGGGCCTCCCACTTGATTTTATGTTCAAAACTGTAAAATACACTTTTATTTTACTGTCTCTAAAATGACTAAATGCTCTTTGGAAAACCTGAATCTGCACATGTATCTACCTCAGTCATCCAGGCTTATATTAAGTAGGAATGAATTGAAACCAAGTTTAAATTCAGTTTATTATCTATGCAAATTTGTTTGTCTTCCTTCTCTTTTTTCTTGCCCTCATCCCTTAACTTTTTTTCAATCCTGAAATTTTTGTTTAAAATACTTGTCTTTCTTCCTCTGGCAAAGCCATATATTCCAAATTAAGCCTCTATGAAATATTTGAATTACTTCTCCCCTCTCAGCTTCATTATGTGTATGTATTTGATTCTAAGGAACAGTTTCAAATACAACACACATCTATTTTCTCATAGCTTCATATATACAAAATAATGTGACAGCATTTAAAATCTTGGAACCTAACTGTTCCTGTGTTTATTCTCTAAGAACCTGAGTACAGTAAGTTCTCATTTAATGTTGTCTATAGGTTCTTGGAAACTGCATCTTTAAGCAAATGGATATTTAACAAAGCAAGTCCTCCATTGGTTCAGCATGTTGGGGATTGTTTTATTCTCATCAATGTTATAACAAAACAGCTATGGGAAGACTTGCTGTACTTTATGAAACTACACAGAGATGGACACATCTATTCATTCATATGGTGGGGAATTGCCTTCAGTTAACATTGTGTGAATACAGGGTCCAGTGAGATCATTACTTGTTATGATGGATTGTAAGTGTGTTGTTAAGATTTCTGTTTCAGTGTTGTCACCCAGTATTTTGCATCTAATTAAAAGAAAAAGACATTTGTAAATTGTATTTATTAAATGT